ATGGGGTGTGTAGTGTATATAACAAGGATATTTGAAAAACAAAGCAGGTGATAATTTCATATGGAAGTAGCAGCATGTTTATACCTAGCTCCATCGACTATTGTATAAAGTATTATCCCCAAGTACATATGTTGATATATATAATAGCAGTTCCTGTGGCTTACAGCTTCTCAATGCTAACATCAGTTTATAGGTAAAGAAACTGAGCGGCACATTGTCTCATCTGGGGAGTGGCTTCATGTCGGTCAGTGTAGGGCTTGGAGACTGGGTCTCGGCCTCTTCTCACTGTTGTGCCACTGTGTTCCTTCTAGTGTGCATTGTGGATCGTTACAGGATTTATTAAGTAAAAACTCTCTGCCAAACTTTGACGAATCATGAAGCCATCATTTCCAGAGACACTATATGAGAAATGTTAATGGGGACAGAGCCCTCTTGGCTTCCCCAGATGATCTAGAGATACAGCAGTTGGTGGGGAGGCTGTTTCTGAAGCTGTGGGAGGTTAAGGCAGGTGTAAATGAAGGCAGTTGTCAACAACAGTCTGGCAGACGCAAAGTCACCTAACTAAGCTCTGCTTTGTGTAGCATGTAGTTCGATGACATTGTTGTATTAAGAACATAATGTAAGAAATCTGCTCAAGTACTAAATGCCAGATTGCTTTCTTCTGCCTTGTCTAGACTAACAGTGAATTGAAATGAGTACAGCGATGGGCTCCTGTGAACACTTGGGTCTATTGATGCAGATCTAAGATTGGAAAAGGCTTGATCATTGGTGTCTGGTGTAGAAGCTAGGAACTAACTTACTAGAAGAAACAGTTCTGTTGTGTAGACCAAATAGCTGTCTCTGTCATTTGGTGTGTGTGTGAGAGAGAATTGTGAATGTGTCATGTCTTTTTGGAGAGCTAGTTTTAATCCAATTACTGTGTAATTTTGAAATCAGAGCACACAGTTAATCTTTTTTAAAGTGCTTTTTATTTTGGAATTTTTTTTACCTCATAAGAGTATAATCAATCTCTGTTAACTTATCTCCTGTAAGACTCATAGCCATAGCTAGTTCCTGTATGTGTGCATGTGTCTGCGTATGGGGTAGGGTGGGGTGCACAAGTGTGTATGTGTGTGTGTGTGTGTATGTATGTGTGTGTGTATGTCTGCTCCTCTGTATTCTTAAGCAAGTCTCAGTTATGCTGTTAATTTGTCTCTGAAGGAGGAGGTTCCCCAAATAGTTCATTGTAAAATCTGATGAGCGTTTACTCTGTAGTTCTCAGACTGATGGCCCTTTACCTTGTAAATCTCCAAAGGACAGAAGATGAGCATCTCCTGGAGAGTGTAGACAGACTAGACAGATGGCCTCTGCAGCAGATCCCAGCTACCATATTTGTACCTGTGTAATCATGAGCTGTTAAGTTGTTCATGCTGTTCTGCTGAGAGTTTCTTCTAGAGCATTTCACACCTTGAATGCAGCTAGTGTCACAGGAGGACCAAAGGTCATTCCAGGGTCTAAGAACATGGCTCATATAACCTTTAAGCTGAGCCATCTAATTAAAGATTTTAGGGATGTACAAACTGAAAATTTTGTGGTGAAGTTTTTTGAGTTCACATCTGTTACATTTTTAAAGATGCATAGATGCATTGTAGATGAGTGATAGGAATATGCCTAACTTTTTATGTGCATGAAACATTCTATGGAGTGACACTTCATTCAGGGTTGAGTTTTAAGCTTGTGTTTTTGACTGGTTTTTATTTGCTTGTGAAAGGACCCAGGATGACTATGCATTTTAACTTATTTGATAACTGCAATTGTAATGCCTGTTCTTGGTTTAAAAGCTACAGCCGAAGTGTTCGGTGATCTGTGTCTTCCTTTGCTCCTGCCTGTCTGCTCCCCTAAGAGTTCCCAGTGTTGCCTATTTCAAGCACTTGGATGGGGCAAGAAGTAGGAGGTGGGGAATACACAATATCTATCTATCTATCTATCTCTCTATCTATCTATCTGTCTGTCTGTCTTTTTTATATATGATGGTGTCCATCATATGTTCTGAATTTGCCATTTTCAGTTACTATATTTGAAAACATTTATTTGAGATGTAGGATACAGCACTTTGAAGTTGATCATGTTGCTTTTAAAGAGTGTGTTTCAAGTTAGCTGAAACAGGGTAAATGACATTTTCATTGTGTCAGAATTATGGATTTTCTATTAAAATGCATTTCCAGAGTTTCATAGTTGATCTATTTCTTCCCCTTAGCCATACCAAGTAGATCAGTTGTCTATCAACAGGTTGTTTAGGAGCAACTTTGCAAACAGTGCGGCACAGCTAAGTGCTGTATTCAGTCCTAGGTACATACTCTTGAAAAACTCTTAAATGTGCCAGGAGATGGATGAACAAATGTCTTAATGTCATCTTGTGTGACGAAGAAAAGAAAACCCAAACCAACAAAACCCTGGGAAGATCCCATCAGCACTTGTGTTGGATAACTAGTGTGACACTTCCCCACCACGGAATTCACAGGCGTGAACATGAACTTTGGCTTCACATGTGACCATGGATGACGCAAGATATAATAATATCCCCAAAACGCAAGCCACAGAAGGATCTATTCATTGTGGTTCACTTTGGTAAAGGTCAAACCAGGCTGTTAAAAATACATTGAGAAATGAAAGAAACGTCAAACAGTTGACATACAGATCAGTTAGTGGCTCCTTTGAGAATGACCTTGGAGGGCAAAAGGGTTTTCAGAGGAATGGCCACTCCTCTCTCAAGCTGGGCGGGCTCTTTTCTTTTTGAATTGTATGTTTTTGTGCTTTTGTGTATTTGCTATTTCTTAATAAAAATTTTTTTAAGTGGGAAAGGTTTTGGTGTAGGTAGTGACTAATAAACATACTAAATTAACCTTAATGCATGGCAGATTTTAAAAGGCACACTTTCTCCTTTCATTCTTTAAATGGTCTCACTGTATAGCCCAAGCTAGCTTGGAAATTGGAAATCTTTTTCCCAACTGCTTAGGTTATAAGTACAGCACCACACTTACACTACATACAAGGCATGCACACTGTGTGATACCTTTTTTTTTTTTTCCCCATTTAGGTGGCAACCAGGGAATGGCTGCTTCTATCCTAAGTAGCTTTCCAGGGAAGGGTTAAGTACCATGAAGTATTAGCAAAAATGTTGACTCTTTAAGACAAAATGATCAGGACTTGAAAACCCCGAACAGATATATGCTCAGGGGTCACATAGCCAAGAATTAGTTCCTAGCAGTTACTCCACCACATCCTGCTCCTCAGGTGAGATTCAGCCCTTTTTGAGGTGAGCTTGAGGATTGGTTTTGGTTTGTTTGTTTTTGTTTTTTTGAGACAGGGTTTCTCTGTGTAGCTTTGGCTGTTCTGGAACTAGCTCTATAGACCGGGCTAGCCTCAAAAAGGTGTGCACCACCGTTGCCTGGCATGCTTAGTAATCTTAGTAGTGGGGTGGGTCAGTGAAGAGAACAGGAGCAGCGCCCCCTGTCCCCTGCCCCCGCCCCTTACCTCTTGTCGTCTCGTTGTGGGAGCTGAGCTGCACCTGGACTACCACCACAGCACAGCACAAAAGGAGGTGCATCACTTAACAAGCTCCGTCACTGGAAAGAAACAGGCTGTGTGCATCAGGGAGTCAAGGGGGTTGAATTTATTGTAACCCATACATGCTCTGGGGCTTCTTAGTCTAAGATTCTGCTGCATGGTTCATACCACTTGAAACTGGGAGTTATTATTGGAGTTCTTTCCTCTTGTTTTTACACTCAAGATACAAAGTAAAACTTTACTTACTTTTGAAACTCTCAGGTTTTGTTTTAGGACTTAAAGAAAGGGGTCTTTGAATCTGTAATCCCAGCACATGAGAGGTTCAGGGTCACCCCTCAGCTACACAGGAAGTCTAAAGCCCCCTGGGCTACTAGAGCCCCGTGTGTGCCCCCCCCCCGCCCCCTATTTTGTTTGTTGTGGAGTGTGCTTATTTACTTAGAGCAGGTAAGAATTTGCTCTTTAGCCTTGTGGTTGAATTACTGTTCACACTGAAGCCACTGGATAACACCTACTTAGGTTCTGCCCTTAGGATAGATAGCCTTACCCTCCTGATAAATTTGTCGTGTTTCAATTAAAATTTATTCTAGCCGGGCGGTGGTGGCGCACGCCTTTAATCCCAGCACTCGGGAGGCAGAGGCAGGCGGATCTCTGTGACTTCGAGGCCAGCCTGGGCTACCAAGTGAGTCCCAGGAAAGGCGCAAAGCTACATAGAGAAACCCTGTCTCGAAAAATCAAAAAAAAAATTATTCTAAACAAATGTATTAATTTAAAAACAGTTCTCGGTGTTCTGCTAATGGTGATTTCTAGCTGTTAACCAATCTCACACCCCTGCTAAATTTTCCTCATTATTGAAAGTGAAGCACAGGGCAGTTGTCACTTGGGGCTCCTTCCTGTCGTCAGTCAGTCGTTACTGGAGCTGGAACACTTCCAAAGCGCATGTCCTGATAGTGCCCCTTCCATTAGAGTTCTGATACCAAGCACATGGCCATACTGTAAGCCGTACTCCTCCAATAGTTGGGTAGTGCCTGCTCTGCCTTTCCCTTCCTCAAATCTCAGCTGCTGGGAAGTCAGTGATAAGGAGACTGGACTGTGAGCTGGGAATACAAATGGAATGTGTGGGTCCATTAATTAAACTCATTTCATAACGATCAGAGGTGATTGGATAGTTGAGGAGATATGGCTACGTAAAGAGGAATGGGTGAGTGAATGTGGGCAAGTTACAGCCATCTAAGACGGGCCAAAAATGTACTTCAGAAGACTAGCTGGGGATATGACAACCACCAACCTTTGAGTAAGCTAGTGAAGCCACCACCAACTACAGTGGTGTGAGCTGTTGTCACAGGTCTCAGCCTTGAGAAGTTAGTTGTTGACTCAGATCCTAAGTCATCCCATTTGATAGGTAAGTGGGGCTGGGCGTGTATGCAGCTCAGTAGTAGAGTGTCAGTATTGGGGTACAGCACTTCAAAATCAACTTGGCCTCTCATGGGTACTGTAGCTGTGTTTGTCAAACAATTCCTGCTCAGAGAGGTCGGAAATGAGGAAATTTTTCAAAGTTCAAATGTGGTTAGCTAATTGTCACATGGGTCTAGGCCTCATATTGACAATGATTCCAGATCCTTCTCTCGTGGAGCTAGTAAGTCAGTTTTGCAGCTTCACTGTTGTAGCAGGGTCTCTCCGTCAAGGGTGATGCTGTGTGCTGAGTCCATTCAGAGTTTCCACTCTTCACCAAGAGTTCTATCTCCTGAAAGTTCTGGAGTCTTTGAATGTCTTTGTCCTAAAAGTTGGGGAAAGACTTAAATGATTCTGGAGTACTCTGTGAAGTCACTGGAATAAGTGGCACTGGTCATTTCAGGGTCTTTGCCTCCAGGATGAATCATTAGCAGTTGGTTTATTCTTAAAATTTTAGTTTTTGAGATGGGCTCTCTGTGTAATCCTAGCTGGCCTAGAACTCAGATCCATCTGCCTCTGCTTCTCTAAATGCTGGGATTATCAAGGTGTATTCCCTTAAGCCCAGCTCAAATTTATTTTTCCTATTAAAGCTGTCTGGAAATTATGATTATCTTGTGACATAATGGTAGTTTACAAAGAATACATCAACGAGATAAAAATTGTCAGAGGCATTGGGGGGGGGGGCGGTGTCCTGGAACTCATAATGTAGACCAGGCTGGCCTTACAGAGATCCGCCTGCCCCTGCCTCCCAAGTGCTAGGGATTAAAGGCGTGCGTCATCACACCCAGCTGGGAAAAAAAGATTCTTAAGGAATGAAATTTGGTGTTAAAACTTGAGATCTGCATTTTCAGCCTGGAAAAAAAATTCAGAGAAACATCATTTCTCGGGATTGCAAAGGTGGACCTTCCCTAAGTGGTAAGGGCTGGCCACATTCCAGTCTGAGGACAATGCTGCTTTTTATCAGCCAGTCAGTGTTGCAGAGATTGGCAGAGCTAAATATAAAAGTCTTAAGTTGGGGTGTCACTTGTCACTCAGGTGTTTAAGAAGTGTCTGAACTAGATTTGTGTAACTAGCAGAAATGTGACTGGGAGTGGCCAAGCTGCCTTGTGGCTCTCCTATAGGCAGTCTCCACCATCTTGAACTTTGTGCATGGTACATGAAAACGAAACATTGGGCTTTGTGTGACATCATTTACCCGTAGAATTATGTACTTGGTGGTGTGTGGCGTACCTTTCTAAGCAGTGTGTTCGGCAGCTTCCTCAACTTGTCCACTTGCTCTGGGTGGATCCCCAGTTCACAGCAGCTCACTTGTAGTAGGTTCTGATAACTCAGCTCTTGTCTGTGCAGTTCAATTTCAATGAAGTCATTTTCCTTGGAGTTGTGAATTCTTACTTTAAGCACCAGCTCTGATCACCCATAAATTCAAACATAGGTTTTTAGATAAGAGACCCATTTTAAAGATTGTTCATATTATCAGTCATCACAGCAAAGATGACCCTAAAAACCTCGGAGCTTTTTGAGCTGGGACTTCAGAGTGCTGGGCTGACCTGAGTTGTGTGCCCCTGTCAGATCTACTACAAACAGAAAGCTTGCAGTTTGATGCCAGCCAGTCATTCAAGGGGTGTTAATATTTTGAAAAAAGATGTGTCTTTCTGAATACCATGTTGTGTGCAGTTGCCTGTGGCCAAAGCATGCTGGATGCTCTGGAGCTGGAGTTACAGGCAGTTGTGAGCTTCCAGATGAGAACCTAACTGGGTTCCTGGAAGACCAGCACTCAGCTTACTGAGCCTTCTCTTCAGGCTCTGTTTATCTTTGGAAGCCCTTTAAGTCCTGCTTCAGCCTTCCGAGTGCTAGAATTGCAAGCATGCACATCACGCTTAGCTAATTCCTTTCTTGTGGTTGGGGATCTGGAGCGTTAAGTACATGTGGGAGGGTGTCAGTCTACCCTGAGGTTATATTTTCAGCCCGTAGGAAGAGATTTGAAATATGCGCTGTAGGGCTGGAGAGATGCCTTGGTGGTTAAGAGCACTGGCTGCTCCTCCAGAGGACCTGGGTTCCATTCCCAGCACCCACATGATAGCTGACAACTGTCTGACTCCAGTCCCAGGGGATCTGGTGCCCTTTTCTGGCCGCTGAGGGCACCAGGCACACACATGGTGCAGATACACATGTAGAAAGAGCACCTGTACATATAAAAGTAAAATACACAGTGGGTATTTTAATGCATTGGCAATGTGTAGCAATCATGGTACTTAGTTGGCCATTTGAGAAGTTACTAGGAAATATGTGTCATTGGGCAAGGTACCAATCACGGTACGATTCTTACGGCATCCCTTAATAGCTAGGATGAGTCAATGTCTTGTGGGACTATGGCATTGAGTGGGAATCTTGTCAGCTTACTCTCCCAAGGACAGTATGAACTAGAACTCCACTGGGCAGACCACATGGTGAGCACAGCTCTACAGCATGGTCCTTACCTGCACCCATGGTGTCAGCTTGGCCGTCACACGCGTCAGTCGGCAAGTGTGGATTCGTGCCTTGACTTTCTTCACCTGGCAGAGAATCGGGAAGGAAACGGGCTGAGAAGTAGCAGTCCCCAGCATTTGCCTCTGCTTCCTGCCTCCCACCGCCCTTCCACAGACAGGCCAGGGAAAGGACAGTAGTTCATTTTAATCTAATAGTAAAGTTTATTTTATTTCCGGGTGGGGCATGCCATAGTGCGTGTGTGAAAGGTCAGAGCACACCGCACACCTGAAGTGGGCTCTGAGGGTTGGGCTCGGTCTTGATCTTGTGTGGCACGTAGCCATCCCATAGACCCTAGTTTTGATCTTGAGTGAGTTTTCTTAATTACCAGCCAAATCATGAAAGGAAGCCAATTCTCTATTTTAAAGTGATGCCTAATCTGGGAAAGAAATATTTATAATCTATGCCCTTAACTTTTTGCTGGTATTTTTGATATGCACTGTTTTGTGTTTCTTGCTCTCTAGTAAAGCTATATAATAGAAAGCAAAGACGTATTAGAAATCTTCCTTAGAGGAAGATGAATCGCTGAGTTCGAGGATAGCCAGGGCTACACAGAGAGACCCTGTCTCAAAAAACCACCACCACCAACAACAACAACAAAAAACACTTGAAGGAACTGGGAGTGGGGTGGGGTGGTGCACATCTTGAATCTCAGCACTCACGAGGCAGGATGAGTTTGAGGCCAGTCTGGTCTACAGAGAGTTCCAGGACAGCCAGGGCTACACAAGGAAACCCTGTCTTACAAAACCTTGAAGAGCTGAGGAATTTGCTCAGTGGTACAGCACTTACCTGTCGTGCCTGAGTCCCTAGGCTCAGACCCCCCCACAGAGCAGCAGTGAAACTCCAAAGACATGAATGAGTTTACAGTAGAAGAGGCAGGTGATGGTAAGGGGGAAATGGCAGTGATGCCCAGGTGAGGTAAAGGCAGAACACAGGACTTAACAGTAGGGAAGTGAAAATGAGTAATTTCAAGCCAACATCTCTGGAACACTAGATCTGAAGCCTTGAGTGTCTCCAAACGCAAGCTCTACTTGTACAGCAGTGTCCAATACTCCCAGCAAGGAGACTCCCTGCTCAGCACAGCCTCCTCACACAGCAGTAATGTCCCTTTCCTCAGCATACAGGGATTGACAGGTTTTGTCTGTCTGTCCTTCCAACCTCAGCCATGGAGATGACTCAGCCCTGTGTCCCAGAGGCTGAGGCTTCTGTCTGAAAGCAGCATCTCAGACACCAGTTTGTAAGTGGACTGTGCTAACTCATCCAGGAACTGTCCCAAGTCTAACTAGGAGGAGACAAATTCAGGCCTGAATTCTTCCTTTGACACAAGTTCTGACACTTTGGGCAAGGTATGAAAGCTCTCAGCCTATTTTCTAGTCAGGAAAATGAAGCTAAGAAGCCCTACCTCATGGGGTGGTGAGAAGAAAAAGATGCTCGCTCATAGGGTCCTCCTAGCACCAGTTACCAGAGAGTGCTGGCTGCTGCTTGCATTTGTATAGTTGATGCAGGGACAGAAGCTTTTCAGTTCTGTGCGCATGCCTGGCCCACTGGCCACCACCTTCTGAACACTGCCCTCTGCCGCCATTCCCCTTGAGGACTGTTAGAAACAGGATCCGCTCACCTGCCAGCTTCTCCTTGATGTCCTGTTCAGGCTCCTCCATGACAGATGAGTGGCTTCTCTCAAGTTACGTGTAAGCTCACAACCAAATAAGTGTTTCCTGGCATCTCAACAAAAGTATGGGAAGTAAGGTAGTATGCTCATCTGTCACCGGCCTTGTAAAATGGGCACGGTCTTGTTTATTGCTAAGTACACAGGCTTAGGTGTGCCATGTGACTTATATAGCGTGCTGCAAGTGAAGTGAGGCTGAAGTTCAAGCTTCACCTCCCTCCTAGGCTGGGACTCCTGGATACAATGCACAGGAGTAACAGTTGGGTGGGAATGGAGCCCTTGGCTCTGGCCTGAGTACCAGGGACCAGCCAAGCACCCTAGAACCCTCCACCAGAGTCAAGTTTCCCTTGGGAAAGATTTGTGGATCTATATCAGGGATAAGAAATGTCAAACCCTTGATTCCTGGGAGTGAACATTCCCTCCCAGCCCGTCCCTTAGTTGCTCTGCATGGCTGGAAAGAAGCTGGAAGCCCTTGGCCATACCTGGGCAGGCTGTCTTCTTGTGAACGTGATCCCTTGATTGCAAGCATCAAAGTGCAAGAGGGGAGACTTGGTGAGGGGTGGGTGGGGCGGGGCAGGCCAAAGTCCCCGGTGAGGCTGCTGGACCACGCTCTCAAAAGCAAGCATCGCAGCCGGAGGAGCGTGGACTGAGAGCATGTGTATGGGTGACTGGCATTTAACATCCCTGTAACAGAAGACAGCAAATGGACAGTCCGTCCCGTGCACTGAGTGGTCTTCAACCTCCAAACCCCGGAGGATCCAGGAGCTCACAGATGATACTCACACCTACTGCAGGAAACCCGCTGCCTGGCCCGCCACCCTACCAGGAGTCCGAGTTAGGTGGTCTTCAGGGGGGCCAGTAGGCACTCTGGTTAAATGGTTCAAGTCCTCTGATTGTAATGCACAGCTATGGTTGAAAATCACTGATTTAGCCAAATTGCTTAAGGAGAAAATGAGGGAAACTTTGGTCCAAGAAAATGAAATGCTTACAGACAGTCATGTGGTCAGCTAGGCACAGGCTGGCAAGAGACTTGGATGGCATGGCTGCCTCCCGTCCCCCACCCCCATGCTGATGATGTCTTCCTGTGAGGAGCGGAGGAAGGTAGGAGTGACAGACAGGAGGAGGCAGGTCTGCCTGACCTGAGCATGGATATGGAAATGTACTTTGGCCCGTTGGGCTGCCAGGGTGTGGTGAGCTGAGCCATAAACAGGCATCCTGAATCGCCCCACCTGTTGGAACAGGCTGGGGACAGGAGCTGCAGCTGGTACACTGAGGGAGGCCTCTGTCACATTCCCGTCACAATACTGTGGTGTCCGCTCAATCACTCGGTGGGCATGTGTGCACTCAGTCACCCAGCGGCGCCCATTGCTTTCCTGTTAGCTCCCCACCTGCTTTGATGATTTGAAATCCGCCTTCACTCTACTGTTCCCTGTGTCTTACTTGCCCATTGGTGTCTTGTCTAACTCGTGCTAAGGTATCACCGGTTTAATTATAGAGGATTATACTGTGTTTTCCACAGCCAGAAGAGCTAAATCCCCTTCATAGCCTTTATTTTCCAACTTTTTTTCCTAACCATTGTTGCAGGGTTTGTTTTGTTTTGTTCCTTATACATTTTTTTCTTTTAAAAGTGTACCAAGGGCAGATAAGATGTGGATCAGTAGGTAAAAGAGCCACCAAGCCTAACAACCTGAGTTCAATCTCCTGAGCCCAGCTAAGGATGAAAGAGAACCAACTCCATATGCAAGCTTTACCACTGAGCTACACCCCCAGCCCAGGAGACAATTCTTTATGGGTCTTCACATGCATTTTGGCAGAGCGCAGATAGTGGCTGCCTTTTTTCCATGCCGGTCTTTCTTTTTCTTTTTCCCCGAAACAGGGTTTCTCTCTATTGCCTTGGCTGTCCTGGAACTCACTCTGTAGCCCAGGCTGGCCTCAAACTCAGAGATCCTCCTGCCTCTGCCTCCTGAGTGCTGGGATCAAAGGTGTGGCGACCACTGCCTGGCTCCACACAGGTCTTTCAAGGATGTTTGTACCAATCAGCCTTGGAAGGCAGACAATGCTCTCCTGACCCCATATAATAAAGACATATAATAAAGACAATGTCTTTTGGGGAAGCATGATACACACACACACACACACAAACACAAACACAAACTCAGAGATGGGGCAGCAAGGTGGCTTTGCAGTCTAGGAGTTTGCTGTGAAAACCTGCGACCTGAGCTCCATCCCTGAAAGCCACATAAACGTGCAAGGAAAGGAGTTGTGGAAGTTGTCCTCTGACCTCTCTGCACTCACTGTGGTTCACACACTGTGGTACACTCATGTCCCCACACATCATGCTCGTAGGAACAATAATAAAAACTAGGAACAATAATAAAAACTTTTCAAGATTGTTTTCTCGTACCCTAGGTTCTGCCTCTGGAAGCTGTTTATTATTATTCCTATCTTTATTATTTACTTAGAGACAAAGTCTAGTGTATCCCAGGCTGGCCTCCAGCTCCCTATGTAGTTGAGAATGACCTTGAACCTATAACCCTCCAGCCTCCCCCTCCCAAGTTCTGGGATCACAGGAGTGCACCACCACCCCTGAGTTAGGTGGTGATGGGGAATGAACCCAGGGCTTTGTGCATGCTGGACAAGCACTCTACCAACCTCACTATGCCTCCGGCCCTGCTCCTGTTTTAGCTATTGTACACAGTATGGGGGGGGGGAGAGTTTGTTTTTGTGGGGGCGGGTTTTGAGACAGGGTTTCTGTGTAGTTTTGGTGCCTGTTCTGGATCTCGCGCTGTAGCCCAGGCTGGCCTTGAACTCACAGAGATCCGCCTGTCTCTGCCTCCTGAGTGCTGGGATTAAAGGTGTGTGCCACCACCGCCCGGCAGGGGGAGGGGGAGGATTTTTAATGGCAGGAAGGTTTGGTAAGCAGCCTCATAGCACCTTCTGCATCCCCGTGTGGTGTGGAAAAGATAACTGGGGAGTCTTGGTGACCCTACAAGGTCCAATGGTGTGGACGAGTGTGTTGGGTTTGGAGATGAAGTCTCCCTGTAAAAAGCCCATCATTCCAGCTGGGGGTGCTGTTGGGAGGTTATTGGGTCTTGGGTATGCTAAGTATGGGGTTAGGCCCAGTTGGAGGAAGTGGATCAGGAGGTGAGGGCCGGGTCTCTCCTGGGCCTCTCCTGTCATCTAGGCTCCCTGGCTGCCGTGAGGGGAACAGCTTTGCCGAGGCCCCTCCACTTGATGTTTTGCTTCAACACAGTCCCACGGTGCTGGTGCCACAGGAACTCGAGTGTGGCCTCTGAAACGAGAAGCCCAAAGACATCTCTCCTCACTTGTTTGTCTCAGGTATTTTGTCACATTGACAACAACTGAAAGAAAAAACAAAACCCTTGCTTGTAGGAAATAAAGACTGAACCAACTAAACGGCACTCGAGTCCTTGCCGGCCTTCACACACAGAAACAACAGACTCAGCACAGAAAGACCTATACAGGCTTGTCAGGTTCCCTCCAAGGAGGGGCACAATCAGCCCAAGACAGAGAATTACAGGTTCTTTTATGGGCTGCATCAGTATTTCAGGTTGTGGCTCTGGCGTTTTCTGGCTGATTCCTCATAGAGGCCAACATTTCCAGACTCTTGCCTACTAAACACCTGTGTAAGTCTCTACAGGGAAATTCTTAGGCACAAGATCACTGGGCTGAAGGAAGGCACACAGTGTCCATGTTGATACAGCATCATGGTGGCTGTTTCTGTATCTTATTTTCTTTTTGTTCTTGAGGGTGTTTTGACTTGCATTTAAAAAGCCTCCCCCTGCCCCCTGAGAATGAAGAGATGATTTATTGGTTAAGAACACTTGCTTCACAATCATGGGGAGCAGAGTTTAAACCCAGGTTTCCACATGACAAGACATTCTACACGCTTGTAAACCCCAGCTCTGAGGAGGGCAGAGACAGGTGGATTGATGAGGCTTGCTGGCATCCCATCTAGCTGGCAGAAAAGTGAGTGCTGTGGAATAATCCTGTACACTGAAAATGTGCCCTCATTGTTAATAAAAAGCTGATAGGCAGGATATTCGGAGCAGAGAGAATGCCAGAAAGAGGGATGGAGTCTGAGGAGTCGGAAGCCAGATGCAGAAGAAGCAACATGGGAAGTTCATAGATGAGGTAAATGACCTGGGGGTAGCACATATAGAAACGGGTTAATTTGAGTCATAAGAGCTAGCTATAAATGAGCCTAAGCTATTGGCCGAGCATTTATAATTATATTAAGTCTCTGTGGTTATTTGGGGATTGGCTAGTGGGACAGGAAAGTCTGTCTACAAGTGAGACCCAGGTTCAGGGAGAGATCCTGCCTCAGGGGAGTAAGCAGAGACTGGGGAGGACAAGAGGACACTTCAACATCCTCTTGTTTCCATGCATATGTGTATATTTATGTGTGAGAGTGTACATGTGATTGTAGGTGTCCACAGAGGCATCACATCCCTTGGAGCTAGAGCTACAGGTGGTTGTGAGCCACTCTGTGGGTTCTGGAGATTGAACTTAGGTCTTAGGTCCTCTCCAAGAGCAAAATTCTTACCAGGGTATGGTGGCACACCCATTTAATCCCAACAGAGCCAGAAGCAGGCAAATCTCAATGAGCTTGAGGCTAGCCTGTTCTACATAGTTCCAGAACAGCCAGAGCTGTCTCCCCCCAAAAAAATCTTTGTAAGGTGATTAATATGCCATAAACTTTGCTTGATGTATCTTGCTGTATTGGGGATCAAACTTGCTTCACAATCATGAGGACCAGAGTTTAAACCTAGGTTTCCACATGACAAGACATTCTATACGCTTGTAACCCCACAGGCATGTTGGGCTAGCACTCTACCACTGACCTAGCCCTCCAGCCCATACTGACCCATTTTAAAGTATTCAGGCTTTTTCCCCCTCCTGCATGCACAGGCTTGTGCAACATTCACTGAGATCTTGTTTCAGAATTGTTTTCTCACTCTGAAATAATAT